TCTTATAGAACGCAAAACCCCAAAACCCCAAAACCCCAAAACCCCTTAATATTAAAATTTTGAATTGAATGTAAATTATCAATATTTTATTAATAAAGTTGCAATGAATCGAAAAACTCACTCAAACGAGCCATACATCAAGGATTTTGCGTTCTATAAGACTAGATTTGCGAATAAACACAAAGAAATCAAGCATAAATTAAGAGACTATGCGTTGATTGTAGAAAGATTTCAAGATTAATCAAATAAAGCTTATGGGTAAGTTCAACAATGAAAATAGTGGTATATTAACATAATCAGAAATTTTGATTGAGGAAAAAGTTTTCTAAATTGAAACTTTAATTATAGTGATATGGAAAGTGGTGGAACTTATGGAAATATCCAAGAGGTCATTGCAAATGTTAATAAAACATCTGAAGATATCTAGATGGAGATTGATGAGGTATATTATTTTAACTATAAAGGAATAAATTTTTAGCTTGAAGAAATTGAAAAAGAAATGTCAAAGCTATCAAACATCTCCTAAAGTGAAAAGACAATCTCATATAAGTTGAAGAATTCTCTTAAGGATTTACAAATAGAGCATTCTTAGTTGAAAGTAATAATAACCAAACTCATTAGAACTTTTAGAAAATTATTAGAGCATAGATAAAGCATCATTAGAGCACTTTTCATGCAAAGAGGGAAGGAGATGGAAAAACTACTAATAGGATGAAAAATATACTCAAAGAAAGTGATAGATTAGACAGCACTATAGCTCTTGCAGATGAGATAATCAATATGGGCAATCAATCAAGCTCAAATATGGCTGCTAAAATGAAAAGCTTCGTAAAACAGGCAAAAACATAAAGAGGATACAGAACTCAGCTGTGCCCGGTTTGGACAAATTGATGGGGCTAATAAAAAAAGCTGAGACCAAGAATACTATCATAATTGCACTAGTGATTGCTCTATGTCTCGTATTTATGATATATTTTCATGGGTTCAAATATGTTATCTAATCTCAAGGGGCTGTAACTAATGACTCTATTGTTAGTGCATTAATAGATTAATAAAGCTCCGATTCCTTAAGCGATAATAGGAGCTAATAAATATCAATAAATGACACTGGTAGCAATTGATTGGTTTCGATTAATTTTCTTAACTACTTTTGAACTTTCATAGATCTACTTTGGGGTTTTGGGGTTTTGGGGTTTTGGGG